CTACCCAGAGAGGCTCCTTCCTCATTTTCCACAGACTGGTCTCTGGCTAGTACAAGATCCCAGGACACACTAATTTCCCCCTGCCCCACTACCACGTTGGGAATAGCCCAGCTGACTCCCATTGGGAACTGAGTGCTCTGCTGCACTCTCCAGGATACAACTCAGTCTCCCTTAGGGCCTGTTCCATACTTGGGCAGGACAGGAACACACTGCTCATAAGGGGAGAGCTCCAGGACTTTTAGGACTGACAGACACCCCTAGCCAGGACTCATATTTGAGCTGTCACGTGAGGTCACTAGGGCTGGGAGGGAAAGCATCCAGCAGAGCTCTAGAGCCCTATGGCAGTGGTTTCCAACCTTTTTATACCCAAGATCACTTTTTAAATCTCAGAACAGGCGAAGATCTACCACCCCGCCCCTTCCTTGAAGCCCCGCCCTCTCTATTCTCTTTCTGTCCATCTCTTGCTACTCCCAGCCCTTACTTACACACTCTGATAAACAGGTTTTTAAATTACGCGATATATAAAATAAAATTAAAATCATGTGTTTATAATTATGAAATAAATGGTCTGTTTTTTATTCCTGCTATTTAAATCTAAAATGAAACATTTATAATTATACATTTTGTGGGGACAGAGTTCTGCGGCTGGTGGCAGGGGAGAGGGAACAGGGTGCTGGGAGGGCAGAGGATAGGGTTCTGCAAGGGGACAGAGTGCCAGTGGGGACAGGTTTCTGCAGCTGGGGACAGGGAGCAAGTGGGGACAGAGTTTGGGGAGTGGGGAGAGGAATAGATTCATAGACTTTAAGGTCAGAAGGGACCATTATGATCATCTAGTCTGACCCCCTGCACAGTGCAGGCCACAAAATCTCACCCACCCCTCCTAGAATAATCCTCTCACCTATATCTCAGATATTGAAGCCCTCAAATACTTTGAAGACCCCAAGATGCAGAGAATCCTATAAAGTCATACTGCTAATTTAAATCTGCAGAGCATCTGGCCTATGAAATTCAAGTTTGAGCTCCTTTCTGAGCAGTCTGATATCTAGGGTTTCTTTCTTCCCTCCCTCTTGCCTCACAAAGTCTCTGAGGGTATGTCTACACTACCCCGCTAGTTCGAACTAGCGGGGTAATGTAGGCACCCCGGTGCAGGGAAACCCCACGTGTGCCTGCCCCGGGGCCAACACCCTCTCCCCCGCACGCGCGCTGAGAAACCCTGCGCACGCCTCCCATGGGGCTGACTCACCCCTCCTGTGCGGTGCAGGGAGCCGATGCTCCCTCCCGCAGTACACCCGACAGAGCTAGCGCACTTCCGGAATCGCTGAAAGTGACACTAAGCTGCGGGACTTTTGTCCATCCCCTGGAAACCGACACTACCTCCATTTTCACTTGAGGTAGGTAGTGGGGCTTCTCAGGGGTGGGTGGGAAATGGGAGTGGGGCAGACAGGACGCCTCGCGATCAACCAGTCGATCGCAATCGACCTGTTGGTGACCACGGCCCTATGGGCTCTGCCCACAGAGCTCTTCGCTTGGGGCTGGATTTGCCCTGCTCTTGGACTCAGATGCTCTATTTGAGCCAGAAGGAGGCAGGGGAATTTTCTGATTAGGAAAATGTATCCTTGGCTGGCCACTTCAGGCCCTGCCTATGCTCCATATCCTGATCCTGACTGACTGTGCGTTGGTGAGCCCTGTCAGCTGCCCACAACAGCTGTCAGTCCTACAGACAGCCAGGGCAGTGCCGGGCTGTTCCTGTGACCAGCCACTGTGCAGACA